AAGACAGCTTAATGATTTATAGAGCAAAACTGATGTGTTCCTCAGCGAGGTGCGTGCGTGCTTGGGCATGTATTGGGTGAAGGATTGGTGGTGGTTGGAGGGGCCTCTTGTGGTAGCTTAGAGGCTTTGCTTTTGTCAGTCTGCCCAAGGGGAGCTCTTGTTACAGTAAAATACTGAACTCCATAAGTGTCTTTGAATGTCCAAAAATTACAATATAAAACTGATGCATTAGAAATGATCTTGTTCTACATTTAATTTTGTTTTAAAATAATAGATAGTTCAAGCTTTATAAAACATTTTCCCAACAGAAATATTCTTGTAAAAGTCAAATCTAGTGAACAAATCAGACAAAACGTATGTATTTGTAAAAGTAAGAAAGAGCCATTTGATGCTTTGGGCTGAGAGCTGATACAGTATCTAATGCCTAGCGTACATCAGACTGGCAACTGATTATATCCGTCGCATATGAGTTGCTGCTGCCCCGCACACATCGACAATCTGGCGAAAACGGGCAACTCCTAGTAGCAGGTCAGTCTCTGGAATAACAGCGCGTACATCGACAGCAACTGGCCTCAACTACAGTGTGTTTTCTGACATAAACTGTAGAGGGCGCGCAGTACGTCACATGATAACACTCTCAACACATGTTGTTGGAGCACATCGGTGATATCTCTGGATCTGAGGACAACTAGTTGCCGAAAAGTAGAACGCGGGCAACTGACTGAATCCGGAGATCGACTGTTTATCTCCCGTTGAAAGAGCGCTCACATCGACCGATTTTGGCAACTGATCATCTCCATCATCTACTCTCAGTCGCCAAAAGCCGCCTTGCAACTAGTTGTCTCCAGTTTCTCTGCCGATGTACGCTTAAGGCTTAAGCTGATCCAAATATGTGACAGGCAAAAGCGAGGAAATAGCTGGATGGGTTTTATTGTAGTCATTTTTTTGGAATTTAAAAGTTAGGTACCCCAGCTTGATCTTTTTTCCCCTTTTGGAAGACTTTGTAAATGGCCTACATACAGTAGATGTATAGAAATAATGTTTACCTATTTTGAAAATCAGGTCCTAAACGGCACAGTTTGATTGTTGTATTGTGAATTCTTATTCTGGGTATACTTTTAACCACTTCTCAACACGGCACACAAACTGGCATCAAAGTTCAGCTTGTAGTAAACGCACACAGTGTAAACACAACATTCACCAGAAACAGTTTCATTTTTTATTGTAAAATTGGAAAAAAGGAGAGAAAGAGAGAAAAGCCCCAATAAGCATTTCTTATCAATACATATCTTTATCTTACTATAACCATAGGAGAAACCAAATCATACATAAGCAAATAAATAAATAAATAACAATGAATGAATTTAAATATGAAATAAATAGTAAACATCAAGTGTCGACTTGATCTGGTAAACAATAAACATGTAAATAAAGTTGTTTAAGCAGCAAGTTCACGTATCATTTTAATAGGAGAAATAAAGTTTGGTTTCTCTGGCTAAAACAGAACACACAAGTCTCTTCTCTATAAAAAGAATCTGCTTCCCATGTCAGTGAAGTCATGCTGTACTGACACAGCCACATGGGTAGGTGGCGCTCTCTTTTAAAGTAACTCGTCAAGAAAAAAAAAGCAACTTGTAAACAGCATTTTCTCTTCAGGTTTAAAAGATAAAATAGTACTGAGATTTCTCTTCTGCCCTGCACGCCGGGAGTGCTCCCAGCGCTTACATGTTTTGTTTGCTTTGTGCTGAGAAACCGGAACGTTAACATCCTCATATAAAGCAAAGACCCCCCGCCCCGCCCCAACTCTAAACTATCTGTCCCCAACAAAGCTCCTGTGCTGATTCTCCATAATATACAGATTTCATATTTATAATAAGCTACTATCCTTAGCATTCAAACCATAGTCAGTAAGAAGAGTAGTACCTTTAAGCCTCCCAGCCCCAGAGAGCATGCTCAGAGATTGAAAAGGGCACCATGGTAAAAGTCGACATTAGTCTCAAAGAATAAAATGATGCAAGAGTGGATAAAATGTCAAAAGTTTTAGATTGAGAACATGCAGCTAATGACTAGTATTTACTGCCATTTCCTTTTTTTTTTAAAACATTCTCATCAATGTCCATATTTCCATTTGGGCAGTGAGTATGTACAGTATACAAAGGCCAGTGTACCACCACACCTCACAACTTTCTCTCGTATTCACTATTGCATTCAATCAAAGTTCTTCTCTGTGCTGAGTTCCACAAACTCATTAAATTCTAGCCACAGCTGGCGTCTTTAATTTGCATTACCCGAACTGTTGTGAAGGCCACATTTCATTTGAGCTGAATAATTTAGTGGAGTCTCCAGTAGGCGTCCCGTGCGGCAGGTAGTGAGTGGGTTTGAAGGCCCGTATGGCCCCAGGAAAAGAGGCTGTATATCAGTAAAGTGAAGGGAGCAGGCTGTCTGCTGCCACTGCACCGGCCCATATACATCTTATATCTCTAAATATTTTACTGTGAGACTAAAACAGAAATATGTCCCAATCAGGAATGTGGAATTCTCTGGAGCTCAAAGAATGTGGTGGCGGGCATTTCAAGTTACATGAACATGCAAATAATTTGGTAATTCATAATCAAATCGAAAGGCAATAGCTCAGCTCAGGCACCGGAGTGTACCAGACTAATCAGCAGAAACACTGGTGAAGATGGAGTTGTTGTCGTAGAGCGGTGTGATACTGAGTGAAGCGATGAAGGAGCACAGTCCTGAGGGGAGCGGCTTCACACAGCTAACAGAGGTAATACATGGAGAAAAGCTCATTGTTTATACATCTATAGATATGGAATGTCAAGAGGTGTGTGTGTGTGTGTGTGTGTGTGTGTTAGTTAATGAATCCCACCTGATAGGCCATGTGCGGTGACCACACTGTAAAGAGCTGCGTGCTAATGTGAGGCAGCAGCTGTAGCGGCTCTACTTTAGGCCTGCTGCTGTCTAATTGATGGATCATTTTGCTCTTAATTTGACCTCCTAAGGCTGTTCCTTGCGCTGGACAAGTTTTTACTGTGCTATTATACCCTTTGGAAAAAAAATACAGCTGCTCTTCACTGAAGAACTCATAATCTAAACTATATACACACACTCTGTCATAGGCGTTTACACTCTAGGTTTTGGTGTACAGTGAGGCGCCTTGGGATGGTCAGATATGTCCGCCTCCAGTGAGACGGAAAGGAAGGGAAAAAGACGGATAACTAACACTTATCCCCACAGAGAGAAAGATGAACTCTGTCACTCAGTCAATTCATTCAAAATGCCAATGCATAATTGATTGTGCATCTCTTCCCCCACAGTGCTGGTCCCCATTTGATCAATATCATCATTATCCTAATTATGCAGCGAGTTACTCCTCAGTCCTCTATAGATGGTCCCTGTTCAGAAGGTAATGCTGGCACTGGGGTGAGGATGGAGCAGGGGAGCAACAGAGGGGGGCGACCGGCTGGATCCTAAGGTCACAGCCAGGACTGGTGTGTCCTTTATGAGCCTGCTGTGGTTACTGCACTGCATCCAGCGTGGTCGCTCGGAGCACGGTGCTATATGGTCAGATTATGAAAGACTGAATAGTTCCGGTGAACGCGTGATGAGGCTACTGCTTGGATGGACTATGACGGGCACAAAGCTTTATACAGCGTGGTCACTCCAGTGGCATGTTTGTGTTTGGCACTATGATTCTGTGGACACAGCAGAATGAGATGGACATGAGCTGAGAGAACACATCTGAACATGCCCCATACAAGGTCTAACCCACATATTCTACGCCACTAAAATAGTATAACTTTATTTTTTTATACATTTTCTTTATGTTTTAATATTCTCAAACCCAGTAGCTATAAATGTCAAAGAAAAACCCTTTCCTCTTTTTATTCAACCTGAAGCTAGTATTTTCTTATGTTTAACTTGTAATATCATTAGTAGTAGTTGTAGTATTAGTAGCATTAATACTATATGTTACTGTTGCGAACAATAAAAAGGTTTGGTCCTTTGGTCCCTTAGGGGTAAGAGATTTGCAGTCCTACGGTTGCTTTTGGAAACCTCGGAGACCTCGGTGACCTGGGTCGTAGTCCTGCGCTTGCTGAGACGTTAAGAGGAGAAGAGGGAGAGAAAAGTCTGCCAGTGGAGGTCCACTGCTCGTCTTGATCTTCAAGTTTGAACCCTCATTTGTCCAGTTCAGAAAAAGCCATAAGCGCCTCTATCCAATAATATAATGTGAATATAATATGTATATAGAAATCTATTTGTTGTTGCTGCTTTTTTGTTTGTTAGTTTGTTGCTTAATTAACAATTCAAGTCTCAACAAGAAAAGTTCTGTTGATCGGTCCAGCCCCAAAGTTCCTTTTTTTTTTCTTTGTTTTTTACTTCATCATGTCTTTCTTGCACTGTGCCATCCGCCACTGCGCGAAGTACATGTCATCTTGTTCACATCTTCTTTTCTTCGCCAAAAACCTATAGCTTCATAGTAAGTAAATGCTGATATGTCTTCAGAAAATCCATATGTGTTTGATTTTTTATAATGTATTTTGCTTTCAAAGAAAAAAACTGAAGTCGTCCTCCTCTTCGTTTCTTCATAAGTCCTCTAAAACCTGCAACAGACCACATAACGACCGCCATTAGTGATGTCGCTATTCATTGGGCATCATTCAAAAGATCCATTTCTTTAGCTATTATACTTCACTTCGGCTCCATCATATTGCTCTAATAATATTCTCGATAGATTGAACTTCTACTGCCACCACAATCCATCTTTGTCAATCACTGCCCTGACACATTGTTCACTAATTAAAGTCCTGCTGTGTGCCATATAAGCCATCCCTTATAGAGAGACCCAGGGCCCTAAAGGATTATTCTTTCTCTTTCAATCCATTATTTATTAACTATAGAAGTGAAGGTTGTCTGCTAAAAAGATCGCTGGTTGTAAGCCTTGACAGGGTGCTCACCTGTGCTGCTGTGGTGAAAGCTGAAGGTAGGCTGTGTCAGTAAGGGCGGCTGGCGTCTTTCGGTCTCTTTAGCTGGACTTTCAACCGCTTCATCCCAATCTGAAAGCCGTTCATGGCTTGAATAGCTGCCTGTGCACTAGCAGGGTTGTCGAAGCTCACAAAGCCTGCAAGCAAAGAACACGTTTTTATTAGTACTTTCTAATGCGTTTAACGAAAAGTTCCGTTTTCCCCAATTTTGCACTGTATCTGATTTGTGAGAACTTTGCCAACAAAGTCTGAACACATTTTAAAGTGCATGTCAGTTCCTTTTGAAGAGTGCGACTTTCTGAAGAAAAACACTGGTTAGACTCGCCCATGCAGCCTCTGAATTGGTCCAAATCAAATAAAATCCAGGAAGCCCCTTGTCATTGACTTAACTACTTAATTTTTCCTAGTTGTAGTCAAGAGGAGGGACTATTTTAAATATAAAAAACTTACAATACTCAAGAGTACCGCATCCAATGGTCAGAAATATACATTATTTTAAAAACTAAATTCATTTAAGTCACCTTTAAAGGAATAGTTCACCGTTTTTACATACTGACATATGTTCTTACCTTACCTTAGACTAGTTAATACGTACCTGTGTGATCTTAGTCCGTGCGCTCTGTTATGCAAACGGAGCAAAAACGGGAGGACAAATGCAGCCTCCTCTGGTCACTGTGTAGCACCAAAAGGTAGCTCCCGCTAGAAGCTACCAAACTCTTCCAAGTGTTCCCTATTAAATGTATATAGTTACGTGACGTGTTACACTGCAAAGTATAGTAACACAGAAATGTAACTGTCGATTTTCTCAGCGGATAAAACGGGTACTATATTGTGAGGCGTAGTAATCTGAGGTGCGCTACGTCCGCGCACTAACTTCTCTCCGGAGACTTCTCTCTCGCTCACTTCCGTCAATAGAAGCAGCGTGACTTGTAGTACGGAGAGAAGTTAGTGCGCGGACGTAGCGCACCTCAGATTACTACGCCTCACAATATAGTACCCGTTTTATCCGCTGAGAAAATCGACAGTTACATTTCTGTGTTACTATACTTTGCAGTGTAACACGTCACGTAACTATATACATTTAATAGGGAACACTTGGAAGAGTTTGGTAGCTTCTAGCGGGAGCTACCTTTTGGTGCTACACAGTGAGCAGAGGAGGCTGCATTTGTCCTCCCGTTTTTGCTCCGTTTGCATGACAGAGCGCACGGACTAAGATCACACAGGTACGTATTAACTAGTCTAAGGTAAGGTAAGAACATATGTCAGTATGTAAAAACGGTGAACTATTCCTTTAAAGAAGAAGAATTGTTTTGGCTCTTCAACATATTAGTTACATTGGCATTTCATCTGATAAAATATGGATTCATTTATTAAGTGAAACATATGTATTGATGAACGTAAAATGGGCAAAAAAAGAATCTCGATAATAGAACCTTTCCATCTGCTGGAAAAAAGTAAACGATGTCGTACTTTATTGTCAAGTGGAGTGCGGACAACCAGTGCTTTAGTGCACAGTGCGGCACTGTACGCACACATCTGCATGAGAACACAACGTTTTAAAGGGACAATAATGAAAAGAAAACAAACATGTTCAGGCTGAATGCAATTAATGAACTGCATCTACTTCCTCAAACTCTGTTCACTTCTACTCCTCTCTGTGGGCGTCGTCTTCTCTCCGCCAACTCCCAAGCAAAGTACAACCTTACAAAGGCCATGTATGGTGCCTCCTTTAATATTAACTGTAGGCCCACAGTAATAATTGTCATGATTGTGGCACGCACGAGTGAATTGAATGCAGCTTCTGTCTTTTGTTGAAGCGTTGCCATCTCTACTGGTGTTGTACTGTACATCAATATGAAGATCCATCCAAGCTTCACATCAGCCTCAGAACATTTCATGAAGCTCTTCTTGCTCATACTAGCTCTAAAACCTCCTGCTTCGGTCATGTGTAAAAAATAAAGGCTGAGCTCAGTGACCAGAAACAGCATTGGAGTGTGTGCGGAGCAGCCTCCCCGGTGTGGGCTGTCATTAGGAGCAGTCGATGACCCATGAACAGCAGCGGGAGGCGTCTTCTTCCACCTGGGACCACAGAGTACAGGACTACTGTGTGGTCTCAGTCTGAGCTGCTGTGATGCTTGTCTCTGGCCGAAGCTACAGTATGCGTAAGATTAGTGGCTGCAAATATCAAATGGCAAAGGATGCTCTTACTTAAAGGGGATGTCAGGTGCAACAAGGACTTTTGTATGTTTGAGTTTTTATGGCGTTGTTTTAGATTTGACAAATATATGATAAGCTACTTGAATCTTAGGTGTATAATATTGCAGACAGAGGCGTGTTGTGTCTTTTCTAAATGGGTTGTACTGGGCCGCACACTTCTGGATTTTGGTCTATGGACTGGTTTGAGCTTAGGTCTTGGCACAGATCTGGGTTCTGGTCAAGACAAAGAAGGAATGTGATCCACTGGCTCCACAGCACAGTCTGACACAGCTGCTGTAGATAGGCAGAGATGTGGGCTTAGGCCCCTAAGCCCCCTCTCAGTCCTGTCACACATTACAAGTGTGCATAGTCTCATCCCAGCCATTTCCCTGTCTTATGCACACCATCAATCTGGCTTTATCCCCTCTTTCTCCTCTGTAGATTAATTACACCAGTGTGCTGCCTCCTTCCAGGCCTAACATTATGTTGTAAATGCATAGTGTATAAGTCAATACTGCAAATAGGTCTTCTTTCATGAATTTATATGTTATTAAGTCCCCCTGGGGAGAAACGACTCGTAATCAATTTTGCCCAGGGTTCCACGTTTCCGTCAAGTGAAAACAAATGCTGATCCATAATTGGCCTTTGGCTCCCCCCGCCCCTCAGCGCCAGCCTCCTCAAAGTTTGTATAGGGCCTGGGGCGCTGCAGTGCGTGGGCTGACAGAGCTAAATGGGACAGCGGGATAGGGCTGTGTGAATCAGCCGGGGCAGCGAGCCTATTGACAGATATTGGGGTTACAGAGCGGTGATGCAGCTGCTGAGACAGCACCTCCAGGTTTCCAGGTCACATGGCTGCCAAACACAAACAAGAACATGGACTCTCATCCGATGCATCATGGCTCCATTGGCGACAATGTATTCATAGCATTTGTTTCCTTTGCGCTCATGCCAAAACACAGGAGTCATCAAGATGCAAATTCAGGTCAGTCAGTCACAGTACGACCATTCAACACAACGTGTGGATGCCTTTTGTGCAGCTCTCTTTTAAACAAAGGCCCCATGTTTCATAACAAGTGTAACACAATCATAAAATAACTTCTATTATTGTGATGCTGAAAGTTTGCAGGGAGGCTTAACACCTTTGCTGTGAGTTTTTTTTCTTCACAACTCCCACAAATCTCAAAGTATTTTGGGAAAGTTACAAAGAGTGTGAACAAAACAACTTATTTCTATTCAAGGATCGGCTTCTAAACTTTTACTCAATTAACTAAACCGGGATCACAGCCGCAAGTAGTATTACAACATCTCTTTGCTCTATGTCAGTTTACAAACAGTAGTTAGATAATCAGCCCCGTGTGAGTCTCACCAAAGCACTTGCTCTGGTTGGTGGCCCGGTCCATGAACACCTTGGAGGAGATGACGGTACCAAAGGGCAGGAACATCTGCATGAGCTCGTTGTCTCCAAACTCCTGGGGCAGGTGGTAGATGAAGAGGTTACAGCCCTCTGGACCTGCACACACACACACACACACACACACAAAAACACACCATTAAAAACTGTGCCAGGCCGCTGCAGACACCATCCCATCTACTCTTCCATCGCTCTTTTATGTTGACTTAATTAAGAAGACGGAGATTTGTACAAAGTCTGAGACATTATCAGCGTCTTTCATCAGCCCACAAACACAAATCAAATACAGAGTTTTGCCCTGGTTTTCTGATTCTCTTTGCTCTCCCATAATTCACTTGGAACGATTATTCAAATTCACGGAACAAGATAGAACTATGGAAATGTCATAGGCAAAATCTAAATTGTATACAAACATGTCACGGCTTACATACATCTTCCACAGCCATGTAGACTGTGCAGAGAAACGGATAAAACCATCTTATGCCAAGAGTGTTTTGTCTGTTTTTATTCTGTCAACAATTTAAATGCTGTTTATGCTGCATAAACTGTTTTGAAGTCTAAAGGTGCCTATGAGACTCACAATCTATTACCATGAGAGACTTGAGTCACTTTGGATATTTTCAAATAGCTGCGCTGACTGTCTCTTCACCTTATTATTATTATTCTTCTGTCTGAGCTGCAGCGCCTGCTTTGCACTGCGTGGATTTGATTATAATGAACACTAAACTTTAAATATAAAACATATCTCTGCTAAAACTCCTGCACTCTACATCCTTGCCATAATTCTATTCTACATTAAACATACATCCTTATTAAGTCATTGATGTGTCGTTCACAGACCAGTCTCTCACTCTACACTGACATGGGAGCGGGGTTGCATACAGGAGACGCGTGCCAGACCTATTGTACATGTTTTTAGTGGTAGGGGGAACCGGAGAACCCAGAGGAAACCTACATAGACACGGGGAGAACATGCAAACGCCACACAAAAAGGCCTGGAGGTGGAATCGAACTCAGGAACTTCTTTCTGTGAGTTATCCACTTCACCACCGTGCCGCCAAACACAATGTGCAAGGTGTTTCTGACCCATGTTGAAATTCCAGGTGGATCAGGGACAATGGTGGGAAAGTTTGGCGTCTTGTTTGGACCTGTGTCGGCTTATTACCACAGGAAAGACAGGAACGGGTCAAAGTAAAAGGGTCAAAACAAAACTTTTATCTCCCAACGCAGTGCAGCCAGGACCCCAAGTGCTCCATGAGCTCCAGAATCCATGGGCACTTTCTATACAGCAACCAGACTTCCCACAAACACTTCCCTACATTGTTCTTACATCTTATTCTTTGATTTATTTTGATATATTTTATTATAATAAAATATAATCTATTATTTATATTATTTTTATTAAATTCATTTTAATTTTTATATTTATTTTAGTAGTATTCTATCTCTCATAATGTGTTAGGGCGCTAACATTTGTCTACATTTTATCACATTTATAAAGAAAAATAACTATGGACTCTCTTAGTGTAACTTGCATGCCATGCCATGCCATGCCATGCAAGTTACACATACTTTTAAAGCACATTTTCTCACTTAATTCTAAACATTGAATCTGCCGTTTGCAATATCTTGTACTCAAGCATGCAAGTATGTAAGTATGTATGTACTTGTATGTTCAGAAAAAAGCAAAGTGAAATAAGCTATTTTGATTAAATAAATATTTTCTACATTACCTACATAATGTAAAAAATATCAATAAAGCAAAAAAATAAGATTGAAAGATCAGTTATAGACACACTTTCCACAAAGGAAACAATGGGAATCTTGGTATAAAAGTAAAACCTCAACCAGCTTTCACGTTTTTGAACATAACCCCTGGGGAATGTGAAATATATACATTTCCTCCACAGAGGGTAAAGATATATCTTCGCGGGCGAGGGGGTATAAAGGGCAACAAGGGTTGGAGCATAAAAAGGCTTATGTCCCATTCTCATTATTAAACAGGCTCTAACCAAATAGCCAACCATAATGCCAAACATAGCTCTATCATCAAACTCCAATGGACACATTGTGCCAAACCTTTTCCTGTCTGAATTGTCCAAAGATTGCCACTTATACAGTAGTTCCAAACACTCTCCGAGAGAACACGAGGAATGACCTATAGCCTAGAAATGTTTTCTCCCCATTCTTATTTAATTGACCTATTACCTATAATGATGCGCACAATAAAAGAAATAATATTGTTCTCCCGCTCTCCTACGGTATATGTGCATTACGGCAAAATGAATTGTGTACGACTGCAGAGCAATATGTGCCGGGTGCGCTCATCTTCTTTATATACCTATTACAGGGCTATGAGATGTATAGAGTGGAGTGCAGAAGTAATAAGGTTGTCTCACCCTCACCTTCTCGCTGCTGCTGCTGCTGGATGACCTGGGGTGGCTGGGGCAGTGTCTGGCCGATGGGAGTCAGCGTGGTGGCCGGGTAGATGGCTGTGTGGAGAGAGGAAAGGATTCTTTGGGTAAGGATCCCAGATACAAGCGGTCCAGTACGTTTAGAGATAGAATGTGGTTTTACTGCAAATGGCAAATAAATGAATCTGAATCTGAGATAGGGTGAGGAGCTCTGTCACAAGGGAGGAGCTCGGATTACAGCCGGTGCTCCTCCACGTCGAGAGGAGCCCGTTTAGGTGGTGAGAGGAGGCGTCTGTTAGACCCCGTGGAAGACCCAGAACCTGCTGTCTCTCAGCGAGCCGAGGAACACCTCAGATTTCCCCGTATTAGCTGTGTGTCTCCCAAATGAATAAATGTTATATAATTTGGAATAATACATTTTTTTACACATGCGCACACACAACATAAATGGAATATAAATGCCAAGATCGGTAAAACACTTTAGTGGTAGAGGTGGGAAATACATTCTTCTTTCATCAGTTTCAGGAACATAGTTTTAAAGAACAAAACATTTAACATAAAACATAATTTGACTTAAAATATTGTCAAAAAATGTTTTGAAATTATCTTTGTTTAAAAAAGTAGAAAACTATTACTCATGTCTTCCTGATGTTCGCATGGATGTCATATCAACTCCTGGTTTTTGACAAGAGAACAGTTTTGTAATGTTAAAAGCTTCAAAGATCAAACAGCACTTAAGTAAACCAACAATATAAAAAAAGATATTAAAGTTTCAAAGCAGGATGCAGTTGTTTACTACTGTCCATGGCACAGGTCTTCTGGGAGCGCTGCTCGGAGGTGGCCGGAGAGTGCTTTTTGCTGTTTTTTATGACAGCGTGTTAGAGCATCGGATAGTTTGAGATCTGATCTGTAAATAACACAGTCTCCAGTAGATATGCTCATTACAATGTGTTAACACAAAAGACCTTGACAACACATATTTCCTGCTTAAAAAAACAAAACAAAATAATAACTGAACAAAATGTGGAGTAAACAATGAGCCATTTTGCTGAGGTATAGAAGGCACAAGGTTTTTTATTTTATTTGCTTGAGGCATCCAAACATGTATTGTTCTATTCAGAGTATACTGTTCCCAAAACGATAAACTAAGAAAAAATACTTCCAGGAAATCGAAATATTCTATTGCCCTATAGACAATACAGTATATTGGCAATAAATAATATGGTGCGAATGAGGCAGACTTACAAATTACTTGCCCTTTTTTCATTCTTATTGAGCAGGGAATATTCCATTTTTTGTCAGATAAAATACCCCCTCAAACCCCTTTGATACAGTGTATTTCTAGACTTAATTAAACGATTTTAACTTCCATGTTGTTTGAGAATTATGTTTAAAAATATAATATAAGAAGAAAATACTGTACCTTACTCATACCCATGATCCTGAAGAATTACTTTGACATGTTATGATTGAGAAAATGAAACAATATCTTGAGTAGAAAACGTGCAGATGGGAGATGACGAGAACGTGCAAATACTGCCATCTGGAGCAGCAAAGGGACGGTGAAAAGAATGCCATTTCACTGGAGACATTTCTCAAACTAATTTAGAGGTAATATTTTAGTTGAAGCTCAAAGTGTAAGGATTCCTCACAGTGTACACAGTTTGAGTTTAGAAAAGGGGACGTATTTGTGCGAGTTTAGGCCAGATCAAGATGGATGGAGCTTAAAACAACTCAAACTCTTTGCAGTGTTAGCTACGAAAGTTGAAGGACCCCCCCCCCAAGCAACACTAATCACAATCAAATTAAACACCGCACTTGTTATTATATAGTTCTTTACAAACAAGTTTTAATTTCCAATGGAGTGGTGATGAATTTCCAGTGTATGCTTTTTGAAATCTCTCCAGGCTGTTATTTTTAACTCTGGACAAAATAAGACTCTTACAGACCTTCCACTGAGGCGTGTACCTGTGTATTGCTGGACCCCGGTGAAAGCCTGCTGCAGCGTGTCAGCCGCGGTGGGGCTCTGGGTGGAGTAGGGGGGCAAGCCGTTGGTATAGACCGCCTCCACGGCCGGGTGACCGTTGGGCTGGTGAGGGATCCCCGTGAAGCCGTTAACGAGGGGCGTGACGATGCTGGGGACGCCTGAAGTGGTGATGTTGGCAGGTGGAGAACTCAAACCTGAAAATATATCATGAAGCATTCAATCTGGAGCGTGTGTGCACATGGGTTGGCTTAATGCGGTTAGTTTTACAACGAGGACTCAAGACATTTCTCATGCAGCACAACACAACACATGCAAGGTTATCCAGCGGAGAAGGTACCATACAATTTCATGTGTAATGATCAATCCCCAGGGAGAAAACATGGGCCTCTGCAATTTACTTATCCTATTGATCAAATAAAACCATCACACTGCCATCCATTTTTTTCCATCCATTTTCTACCCTTTAATCCATTTCTGGGTCAGGGGGGTGGCAGTCAGAGATGCCACCCAAGTCTCATAGCACCAGCCCCTCACTGACCCTCTGCAGGTGGTGAGTCCACAGGAGGACCATCACACTGTTGGATATATAAGTCATCAACATAGAGCCGACTGAGAGGCAGCAGGACCAGAACTGGAATTTAATATGTATTCCACATGGACCTTTTCATTTTAAAACAAGTCCATAGAGATATCTTCTGCAGGTGAATGTCGGACAGTTAGAATATCGTTCAAAAGTCAAGTAATTGAACTTACAATGTGAAACTAATAAATAACAGACTCCTTACACAAAGTGAGATACATCAAGCCTTTATGTCTTATAATCAGGGGTGCACATAAGTCTTACGCACGTACGCATGCGCCACAGATGTCAGAAATGCGTATTATCACTTGAGTTAGTAAGCGCCTTTGCGTACTTCACATAGACCAGTCCTTCTCAAATAGTGGGGCGCTCCTCTCTAGGGGGGGCGTGGTGCATCCATAATCATCCAAATAGTAAGAAACAAAGGGTTGGCATTTGTCACTATTTTGATTTTTAAAGTTTCACCTGTATAGTGAAAGTTGTCACTGCTGAGAAAAGGTATTTTTCTAAACTCAACAGATGGTCCTGGCTCAGATCGTATCAGATGAGTGGTTCCCAAAGACGGGACTGCGAGACATCAGTTAGGTGTCGCATGATGATGGGTTTCCATTTATTATTTTTCTTTCATTGAAAACTGCATTTGTGCGTGAAATCTGGTCCAATTTTATAACTATTCAAATGAACAAGACCTAACTGTTTTCAGGAGTTTGTCACTGTGACTAAATAGATATTGGCATAAAATAGAATAGGCATAAACCAAATACAAGACACAAACACTGAACTGAAGAGACAGAATACATGATTTTCCATTTATTTTATATTCTTACTACTCTTTAATTCTATGAAGCGGGACAGTAACATGTTTATTTTGGAAGTCCTGGTCTGAAAGATTTAGATGACCATTCCAACGTCAGCTTTCGTTTTATGTTTTCCGTGTTCCAAGTTTGATGATTAATTGTCATTATTAAGAGAGGACAAAACTACAGAGCCTTGCAGTCCAGTCATTTGTTTGCATTCTAGAGGCTTCACCGCAAGATTCAGGTGTACTTACAAAAAAACCAATTCCAGACAAGTAGTAAAGAGAAGGGGAAAAGGGTTACGGCCTCCCTACAAATAGTAACAACTTCAGCAGTTTGAGCTCCGGTGGTTTCTTTGTTTGCTTGTCTGCTTGTCTCCTACATATATCACCCGTTTTTTTTTTTTCTACAGCTCCTTTTGTAGACCAATTTAAACACATATATAGCAACCAGTTCTCACTTCCAAGATATGTCCTCTGCATTTAACCCATCCTGCAAATGCCACTAGTGCCTCTGTGAGCGGCTGGATCTCCAGATGCTGAAGCTCGGCTTGGTCAGGACTAACGGAGCTGAGGGAAACCGGAGCACACGGAGGAACACGCAAACTCCACTCAGAAAGGCCCTGTACCAACTGGGATTTGAACCCAGTGGAGGAGCGACCGTGCGGATAAATCAATAGTTACATTTTTATTTTTTATAGAGCCCTTTACAACACTCAATGCGACCAAAGTGCTTTACAATAAAACGAGATAAATTTAAATTAAAACATACATACAATAAAACAACAGTTGAAAAGCATTAAAAATCATTAAATAAGTGCCACCCCACTACTGAGTGTTAAAAGTGTCTATGTAATGTTAATCTGCTACCTACGTATATGTCAGTGGTGTTTTGCCTTGCCTCCTTTCATTTCTAGTCATTCTAAATTCGACCATAACAAATTCTTCTGCTCACCGCCTGAAATGTACCCTGGCAACACTTCCACATAAGCAGGTGTAGGGACTGACTTTCTTATTGTGTATACAGAGCAAATAGTGACACGGCAACCTGCATAAACACGACGGAGAGGTGGGGGGAAGCGCGCAGGAGCCAGTGACCGCGAGCCACACTGCATCTCCTCACTAATGCAAGGACACGGCTACGTCTCCAGTCTGTCACATTTCCTCCGTTTGTCGTGACACATCCTGCAGGAGAGCTGTGGAAGTCAACGTGTGAAAAATGAGCCTGTCTGTAGTGTTTGTGCGATACCCTGCTGGCTCCAACTGCTCAAGATGATGAAACCGCTATGCAACTTCTGAGGGCGAAAGAAGAAGAGGGGGGGAGGGAAGATGTAGGGAGATTATATAGAGGGAGATGTGCTTGGATGAGCAGGTGGCAAAACACAAAGATGGCTCTTACTTTTATACATCATTTAAAAAGACAAAATAACTGCTGGTAGCTTGACAAATGGCTAGGTCATAACATATATAGAGCGCGTTTGAAAGGCAGCTGTGAGGAGGATACATGAGTGGCATCAAAATTGGCCGCTCTCTGTCCTCTCTTGTTCAATGCATTTTAAAAGGCCCTTCTTTTCCAAAGCGTTTCCAATTATGCCAGCGAACGTCAAAGTACCCATTCGGAGCGCAAGCGTCGCTGCGTGATGTTCTCAGTGAAAAAGGGGGCTAGTCCGTGGCAAAGCATCCGGGGCTGCTTGAAGTACAGCTCCCCCGAGGACCACCTTTCAATCTGGAGAAACCAGCGCTCCGGTTGGACGGGGAAAAAAAAACGCAAGGGTTGTCACGGAAACCCTCCGGCGTGCCATATCTCTGCAATCTGGCATTTTCATGTGGAACCCCCCCGCTCTCTCTTCTTTTACCCACTCCACTTTCCCCCCTCTGAGAGACAATCCACATTTGTAAACAGCCACACATATACATAACATAACGCTTAGGCTTATGCTAATGCCGGTGTAAATATGCTACATGCATCGTGCGCTCCCAACGCCCACCTCCGCGCAATAACACCCACACTTCTATATGGAAAGGCTTTCTTCTATCATTGGCTCCTACACTTTCTACATCCTTTCTCGTGCATCCTCCACTTCTGTGTTTTAAGTCATAAGTAGACTTGACAAGCGACTGGAGTGACCACGTGAGAGCAGTTGTGTGTGTGAAGAAATCTTTTAGTGCTCGAACTAGAACAGGGAACATAGACAATATGTGTCTATGTTAGAGTATAGTTAATGTGTACAAAACCATCAACGATACTCTGAAAACACCTATTTCTCTAATGTCTGAAAAGTCACATGTTTTGCATTGATGGACACAATAATGCAGTCACCCACACACGTAAAGGCAGTAATCCACAAGTTTCACAAGTTTTAAGTCTTGGGTCTAATTAAAGATTATCCTCTGATCATCCATCCATCCATTTTATTCCCCTTAATCCATGTCTGGGTCAGGGGGGTGGCAGTTGGAGCTGCACCTACACTTAGCACCAGCCCCTCACTGATCCTCCTGCAGGTGCTGAGTCTACAGGAGCTGAGATCTTTCAGCAGGGGGTTAAGGCAAAGTGGGGTTAAGTGTCTTGCCCAAGGACACAACGACAGTAGTCATTAGAGGGAGTCGTGAAGTAGGTCTTGTGGTGGGCTCGAATCCACAGCCTTCAGGCTCAAAGGCCAATGCTCTACCAACTGAGCTACTGTTGCCCCATCCTCAAATAATTTAAACCTTTAACTATGGCTTAAATCTGTTTCCCCCTGTGACGATTCTACAACAAATATAATATTAATATTAGTTAAGATGGAGCTTGTGAAGGCTCATGTCAAGTATGTTTGTTTTTATACTTTTTTCCATTCACATAAAATGCATTATAACGATTGATCTTGCACTTTAGTGTCTAGGCACAGGTTGTTTCATAGTGACAATTCTTATGTTGTTTACAATGTGCTTTTATATTTGTATCTGTGGTTTTGTCTCTGGGGCACCCTTGCTGCTTTTGCACAGGCTTCCAATGGGGTTCTTAACTAGAAATGGCTAAGAAATTGAAACTTCAATCCTAAAACATGGATGATACCGGCCTATCTTTTGCTCCAAAAGATGCTGAATATTTACAGAAGACGGCGTGCGTGTCTCTGCCACAAGAAATATGGCGACCGCTTTCATACCACCGTGTCATTTGTATATGTGACACGGAGAAACGCTAAATCAGCAAAAAGGGGACAGATCTTTATCAAGGACTATTACTTTCTCCTCCACCCACCATCTGAAAGCCTGTGTGGGTGAGCGGTCCAACTAATAGCACCTACTAATCCATATGGAAATGCCTCTCTTGATCCTTTCCTCCTTCTTCCTCCTTCCTTCCTCCTTAGTCCTCAGCCTCGGATTTTAAGTCATGAGTAGTCTGACAGTCAAGTGGCGACCGGGGGAATTGGCGAGGCCCGGTGAGAGCTGTTGTGTCTTTTGCACTGATTTTCTTTTCTTTTTTCCCTTCCCCTCTCTCTTAGCCTCCCCACGATTGCTTGTTTCCTATGGAGCGGTGATGAATTAGACCGCAGCTTCAGCCCATTCTCCCACCGGGACCCTGGAGACTTGCCGCTCCCATTCGGAGGGCCAGAGACAGCCAGCCGGGCCGGGCCACACGCACTCCACCGTACCGTCGGATAATGCAGCCTCTCCATCATCAAGCAAATTCATTTCCCAGGGTTTTTTACGGTATGTGTGTGTGTGTGTAGGGCCACTATAGTGATGGTGAGAAGCAGGGGCTGCAGAGGAGGAGCTCATATGTGCAATAAGCCCAGGGTCAGCAGTGGGAACCAGTACAGATCAAGCAAAGAAAA